TTCAAGCCCCCAGATCTCTTGTACTGCAGCAATGATTGCTCTCTCTTGAGAGCCTCTTCCTTAAACTGCTGGTAGGATACTTGCTACAATGTGAGCATGGTCTGCCTCACAATCTSGGGCAGACAACTAGCAAGTATCCTCACAGCCTGCCGCTCATCCACACCAACCCCCTAAACCTGCAGGACGTTGTCCAGCTGTCTTACGAGGGCATCCACATACCTCCACCCAATTGCATCAAGGTGGGTGACCTGGTAATACGCGGTCTGGGCTTTGGTCTTATCACCAAAGCGCGACCTGAGCTTGGCAACAAAATCATCGATATCGAAGTTGGCAGCCCACAAGTCAACCCTCAGCCCTTTCCCAACATTACTCACTTCACTCAGCACCCAGTCTTTGGAATCTACACCAAGAAAAGTAGTGGAAACCAACGTATGAGCAGGGCGGTCCACAAAAGAACCTGCAAGGTGGGTGTAAATCTCAGTAGTCCAAGCATCCAGATTTGTCTTCCTTCCTACCATAGGAAGACCCTGGGCTTCAATAGGGCCTTGCTGTAGGATATAAAGGGGGTGTTGGGGGAGGGTGCCTGAGGTGATGGGCCTCCATTTCCTCCATTGCCATTTCCACTTCCACTAGGTCTGCCAGTTTCCTTATTTTTTTTTCTTTTCTTTCTTTTCTTTCTTTTCTTTCTTTTCTTTCTTTTTCTCTTCTTCAACTTCTTTCCCTTTCTTCTGTTCACTAATTGTTGCAGCCAATTGACTGGGAAGATCTGCCAATGTGGTTTTGATGGTAGTCAGGTCTTTAACAAGCTGAGAAGCCTTTGCATTTGTCTCCTTCTTCTGCTGCTGCAGGCTGGCAGTCCACTGCTACGCTTCTTCTATATACCACATGTACTTTTGAATGCCCAACTGCAGGCTGGCAGTCCACTGCTATGCTTCTTCTATATACCACATGTCCTTTTGAATGCCCAACATGGCCAGTTACAGGACCTTCGGTATCACCTTGGGGTTGAAAGAGGCTTTACCTTCTTCCAAAGAAGAGAGGCTGTCAAAGGCTTGCTGTTGTTCTTCCATCTCCCTTTGCTGCTCTATGGCTGCTAACTTCTCCTTCTCAGCCAACTCACTCTGCTTCCACCCTGCTGATCTTCTCCACTATCGCCTCCAACTTGGCCTCTCTCTCTCGAGCAGCTAGTAGCTGAGCGGCCTGATCCTCAGTCAGGTTCTGCAGCCTTATCCATTCAGCTGCAGGAATCTGTAGAGGGCTGCCCTCCACTACCTGTGACTCTGCAGGCTCTACTGGCCCCTTTCCCTTTTCTCCACTGCTCTCCCTTTTCTTTTCTTCTAAGGCTGCAACTTCCTCCGCAGCTGCCTCCTTCGCCAGTCTGGCTGCCTCCTCCTCTGCAGCTTTCAAGGCCTCTTTGGCCTTCCTTGCAGCTTCCTCGGCTTGCCAGGCTGCATCCCTCTTCTCCACTGCCGCCCGACGCCCAGCAGCCAACTCTTCTTTCTTCTTCTCCTCCTCCTTCTTCTTCTCCTCTTCTTGTTTCTTCTCCTCCTCCTTCCGCCTCCTTTCCTCTTCTTCGTCCTTCTTCTTCCTGTCATCTCCTGAGTTTCGCAGGATGGTAGATCATCACCCTAGTTCCTAGTCAAACAGACAACTGCCATTTCCCCGAACATATGTTCGCAGACACCTCAACGGCACGCAATCTCAGCAACGGACTCAACTACAGAATGCAGTTTCAAGGTAGGAACATGACAGACAATCCAACTAGTACACAGGGATACCCACGAAACAGGCTCAAGGGACTCGACAACTCAACAGACTCAACAGTCTCAACAACGAAGACTCAAAGACGAAGACTCAACACACGCGTCCAGCAAGTATCCGGACATGGGCAAGGGTAGAAGCACTCCCTTGGGGGTCTTCAGCTTCGCATTCGTTGCCGCTACTGAGGCCACAAACGGCCAATACTCCATGCCTACCGCCCCGGTTTCCAAATCCTGGCGGCCTTCAAATGCTCGCCACATGTAACAGATTAACAGTCATCCACATCAGCCGCCCACGTCAGCACTCCATGTCAGCCATCCACGTCAGCACAACACCACAGCACCACATCAGCATCCACTGCCAGTTGTACCCCCTCATCTTCATGCTGCTCTGCCACGTCAGCATCTGCCAGTAATCACAACTGCCTGCCACATCCGCAGTCCACGTCAGCATCCTCCTCCACGGGGGCGTCTCTTCTTGCCACCAAACCCCGTTTCCGCTCTGACCACCCCCTGTGATATCGCCTGGACTCTGGAGTGTTTTTGTAGGGGGGGGGGGGAGAGGGAGGAAACACTTTCTCCCGATGGAGTCTGCTGAGCCAAAATCCCTTCTACTAAACTGCTGAAATCCCATTCTACTCAACTGAAACGGCAAAAAAATAAGCTTGTTGTAGGTCCTAGGTCTAATCCGCACCACCAGCAAAGACAGCAAAAACAAATAGCAGCTGATATGAACCATCGTTCCATGGGGCCCTACTTTGACAAACCAGAAGTAGCAGCACTTCCCCAAGGCTAAAATCTACAGTCTCGTCATGAGGAAAAACACCGGGCATGGGCAGTGTAGATTTTGGCCCTGCACCCCTGTAGACAAGAAAACTGAACAGTGCAGGCTTTTTTCTTCTTTTCTTTTCTTTTTCTTCTCTTTTTTTTCCTTTCTAAACCAGTCTTGCCGCTAGGGAGGTCAGTCTATTGACCAGGTTGCAGGTTGAAATTCTGGCCTGGCCACAACCACAGCGACACGCTCAAGGTACTGTTGGGCAGCACCCCCCCAACAGTACCTTGACCTGAGAATGATCAATCCATAGGGCTTCACCGCACGGCACACGAAACGAAAAACGAAACGAGTGCATCCTCCTGCAGACAATGGCCAGGTTCATCTGTTTGCTATACATAGTAACGAGTGTATGTTGCCACCTTCCGTGGCCAGATGCACTCGTTTCGTTTTCGTTTGGTGCGCCGTGGGGCGAGGCCCATAGTCCTGTTTAGCACACAAGGAGGTCTCACCAATCCTCGACCTCCTAAGTACAGCGAACTGGGTCTCACACTTATATTGTTTTCCAACAAGGCCTGAGCCGACCTGCAGCTCTTGGTTGGTAGCGGTTTGTTCCATATTTGCTGATGACCTCACATAATTATGGCAGCCACCAAGAATGGGGATTAGAAGGAGGAGAAGGGAAGGAAGCATGAAAAGGAAAGTAGGGAGCAGACAAATGAGGAGGACAGGAAGCAGATTTAAGGCAGATGATTGGAGCCATCCACCCGGCCGGAGGACCTGAGGGGGGGGAGCTGCTCTTGCCACCCCCTTTAATAGCCTCACAGATGTTACCAAAAGAAAAAAAAAAAGAAAAAAAAGGGGGGGGAGTAAGTATGTTTATGTCACCTTTGAGTATCAAATGGGCAGAAAAAAACACGCGTCGGCAATGAAAACCGCACCGAGTTCGAAAAGGCAACGGAAGTACCGACGGCCGTGGTGTCTGACCGGGTGTCGTATTTACAGGGGCCGGCCGCGGTGTCAGAGGGGAAAACAAAACAAAACAAAAAAGAAAGCCCAACGGATACTTTTGGACCGAAATCGCTCATTTCGAGTTGGCGCGTGGTTTGTTTGCCGGCGCCTGTTTTTTTTCGCCTTTAGGGTTTTAAAACATGCCACGTCCGCCGTTATTTCAAAAAAAAAAAAGGTGAATGCCTCCGGGCTCCAATATGGCTGTTTAGTGGAGAGGAGTTGGAAGATAAATGTAAAGCACATAGGGGGAAGAGAAGGGGAGACACAAGAACAAAAATATCTGTCATTGTCTGCCGATCTATCATTTTTTTTGTTTTTTTTTTGGGAATGGATCTTTTTTTTTTTTTTTTTTAAACCCAGCTTGGATTGCTAGGGTAGGTGATATGTGCAGCCTTTCCCCCTTGCAGTCCTGCTATTGGACGCTCCATCTATTGGTGGTGGGGAACTCCACCACCTGCTGGAAAAGCGGCTCCAGCGTCCCTTGAGTACATGCACCGAATTGAGTGATTGGTTTTGGTAACCACTCTAACTTCTTCTTCTTTTTTTTTCTTTTTTTTCTTTTTTTTTTGCACTCCACTCTAACTTCTTTTTTCCTCCTCTTGTTTTGTTCATGATTGGCAGACAAAAAAGCAACCAAAGCCGCGCAGAGGCTACCATACCCTTAACCTGCCCCACTTGTATGCCAGGCACGCTGCCCGACGAAAGGAGAGAATGAAGAAATTAGGCCAACACAAGTTGCACCGATGGGTCAAGATTGTTGATAGGTTATGCTGTTTTCTCTTGCTTATATCCTATATCATTGCGACAGCCCTCATATTCCGAGGAAACATGCTCAAGAAGTGAGGGAACAAGAAAGAAAAATCGTCTTCGAGAATGTGTCCAGATGATCTTTTTCAGAATTATGGAGAAAAGAGGAGATCGCAGCACAGGCATCTATTTTCATCAGCCCCGTAAAGAAAATGGTCTTCCCTGCCTTCCCAAGGTTGTGATTCACCATCCTCTTGAGCTGCTCTCTCTTCAGCTTCTTGTTGTTCGGCTGCCCGTCCCAAGGTAACCGTTCTTCTTCACAGTCTCTCAGAAAGTTAGTTAGGTGGGTTGTGTCATTCTCCTAAAACCCACTCTTCCTAATATCCCATCTCTCTAGTGTCCTGTCTATTAGCGAAGAAAGGAAAGGATTCTGAACTTCAATGGAAACATTGACTACGGTTTGGAAAAAAGCGAAATGAGGATAACAGCGGCGATCTTGCAACTACTGAGGGGGGAAGAAGGGAAAGTTAACAAAAGGACCGAAGACAGTTTCGGCGAGGAGCGCGCACGCTTCGATTCCCGCCCAACTCCCCCCCCTCTTCCCCCCCCTCTCCCCCCTGCTAATATTTTCATGCCATTGTGTTGGCTGAATGTATGGTTGAGTTCACAAACTTCAATCTTCCAAAATGTTGTTCACAACGTTAAACACCACCGGCTTAGGGTTTTTGAACTTTTGGAGGTCTTTGTAATTGTAGAGCGGAAGAGTGGGAAGTAAAGGTGGCTGTGTATGACCGGTAGTATCTTTGTAATTGTAGAGCGGAAGAGTAGTATGTAAAGGTGGCTGTGTACGACCGGTAGTGGGGTGCCACCCCAAAGTTCCTCCTCGGTCTCTCAGAAGGTAGGTGGGTTGTCAGTGAGGCCGAGGTCTCCGGATCGAGTCAGTGCTTGCACAGAGGAGGGCTGAGGCCCAGAGGTATTGATCCAATGACATTGGAAAGCTCCCGCAAACTGGCGGGCAGTTGAAGTCTCACATAAGTGAGCGGGCTATACAACCGATGGGGGTCATGTGCGACTTGCAGCGAAGTGTGCAGTGATTGCCAGCGTCTGTGTGCTGTTGTGTGTGTGTGTGTGTGTGTGTGTGTGTGTGTGCGCGTCGAGTGTGGACACTACAGCCTTGCAGGGGGTGCGGCAGATATCACTTGGGCCGTACGGTTCCACTTTAAATATGAACACCGTGTCCTGGCTGTAGCGGTTACGATACTTGGCTCTTCTTGAGGCCGAGGTCGCTGGTTCGAGTCCGTGCTTGCACGCAGGAGGGCTGAGGCCCAGAGGTACTGATCCAATGATCCAATGACATTCTCCTAGGAGCCACTCTTTGTGATATCCCATCTCTGGTGTCCAGTCTATTAGCAAATAAAAGGAAGGATTCTGAACTTCAATGGAGACATTGACTATGGTGAAAAAAAACGAGAGGAGGTTAACAATGGCGATCTTGGATGTGTTGAGTGGAAAGAAGGCAAAGGAGGACCACAAGGACGGAAAGCGGTGCCGGCATGGAGAACAAGATTCGATTCCTGCCCCAACTTTCCATCCAGTTAGTAGTTTCATGATAAGGTGTTGGTTGATGATTTATTTAACCATGGCATGTTTCTTTTGCAATTTTCTGAATGATTTGATTGTTTTTTTTTGTAGAATCAATGTAGATTATATTTATTATTTACTATTTTACTATTTACAAATAATATTGGACCACTTGAAGGACTTATATAGTTAAATTAAATTACAAGCTCTTCGTAAATAAAGACGTGTTCTTTGTAAATCCATAAGCTTGCAAAAGATAATAATTGAGATCATAAGACCCTAGGGTTTTGGAGCTCTTTGTAGTTCTACAGTCATAGAGACTGACACAGTAAAGTTGGCTGTGTACTAGTGGGTCACCTTATGTTCATTTAAAAAAAAAAAAAAAAAAAAACCTGCCTTCTTCTCATCGGGGGAGAGCCGTATATTTTTCTCTCACCTCACATATTTTTTAACCGGCGTTCTGCCATGTCATCATGGAACATATCTCCCTTTCTTTTTTTTTTTCTTTTTTTTTTTTTTTTTTTTTCAAACACACAGCCCGGGCTATGCTAGGTGTGCTGATATGAGCAGCCACCCCTAGCACCCCCGGGAGGGCTCCATCTATTAATGGGGAGCGGCACCTGCTGGAAACCGGGTCCAGGAACATATCTCCCTTTCAATACCTACCTACCACTACTCCTATTGACCTGCCAAGGGAAGGGCCAACTTTATTTCCCTTTCTCTTTTCTGTGAAGGCCAAACTTCTCTTCTGCTAATTCTGGCAATTATGACTGTTTGAGCCTCTGGCTATTAAAGGGAAAGAGGATTCGATGCGGCATGCGGATGGGGAGGAGGGCTAAACTTTTGTAAGTCATGTTATTTATCTCAAGTTAATACAAAGAAGTTATATATGATCTTCATTCTCTGTACTTTTGTTGGAATAATTCAGAGAAACAAAGTGAGTGTACCATCGCATGACAAATTGTCATACTAATCATATATATCGTTGCAAAATTCGAGCACCTGGTTTTGCTCATTTACAAGCGCTTGATTTTATGTCGAAACATCACATGCTTGCAGATGTGGTTACTATCATAGGTACTCAGGATATTGTGTTTGGAGAAGTAGATAGGTAACCACTTCATGTCATATAATAAGCTCTCAATCAAAAACACACTAAGCTATTTTGTCTCCTACTTCAATTTTTCGTTTTTGTAAAATATATATGTTTACAGTCTTTATGTATTTTTGAGTAAGTTTGTTTTCACTTTCTACCCACCGAACACCAATCACTCTCCCTTCTGCACCTGGAGCTACTTTTTTAGCAATATATATATATATATATATATCGTCACAAACAGAACTGCCCGGTAAACCATAGGCAGAGAGAGAGAAG